AACATTTCCAAAATGACAGAATTCTAGAAATGGAGAGCTGATTAGTGGTTGTCAGTGGTTAAGGGTAATGGTGGGGTATGAAGGTAGTAGATGTAGCCATAAGAGAACTGCTTCAGGGATCCTTATGGTGATGAAACTTTTCTGTATCTTGACTGTGATGGTAGATATGTCAATCCACACCTGTGATATACTGTATTAAACTAAATACACACAAATGTATATATGAAAAACTTTTGAATTTTGAATAAATTAATAGACTGCATCAATGTTAATTTCCTGGTTGTGATGTTATTTTACAGTTGTGCAAATTGTTACCATTGAGGGAAATTGAGCAAAGGTTACAGGGATCTTACTATGTAATTTCTTATAACTATATGTAAATTTACAATTACCTCGCAAAATAATTACAAATATTCAAAAAGCAATGATAACAGATAAAGATAAATTGTCATTTGAGAACAAAAATAAATCAAGTGTTAGCTAATTTAACACCAGAAAATAGCACATTTGCAAAGAGATTAGCCTTCCAAGGAACTTGGAAAGATATTTCATTATGATAAAACAAAAGTATTCATTATGAAACATTAATGTACCTAAGTTTTAAATCTGTAAAATGAATTTGATAGAACTACAGAGATTATTCTCAAATTCCAAATGGAATTCTAGAACTAAAAGCAAACGTTAATAAAATTTAGAACTTTTTAAGTGGGTAAAACATGGAATAAACACAGGAAATATAAATGAACTGGAAGTTAAGTCAGGGTAGAATGTATAGAGATAAATCAAGAAGAGAAAAAACTAAAAAAAAAAAAACAACAACAAAGAGCAAATGAGATGTATGGGACACAGTGAAGACGGCCAACAAATGTGAAACAGGAGTTATAATATAAAAAGGAAGAAAGAATTGGACAAAAGCAACATCTGAGGATACAATGGCCTAGAATTTTCTGTGAGTAATGAAAATTTAAAAAGTCACAGATTGAAGAAAAGATACAAACCCTAAGCTAAATAAATATCAGGAAAACCACAACTAGGTACATCATAGTGATGCTGCCAAAACCAAAGAAAAGAGAAAACTGTGAAAGTGATTAGAATAAAAAGTGTATGTGTATCATGTCCAGTCAGGAAATAAGAAACCACAACACTTATTTAAAATACATTTTAATAGTTATTTGATTTAACAATTACTATAAGATTAAAAATGCTAAAACAGAACAATGAGGTAATAGATACAAGAAGAGTAGAAGAGAGATGGCAAAGTAGGAAGATCCTAAGCTCACCTTGTCCCATGGTTACAACTAGATAACATCCATATCAGAATAAAGAACCTGGGAAGTGACTCAAAGACTTATGGAACAAATCCCATAGCTAAAGGCAGGGAAGAGGCCACATTGAAGAACACAGGAAGGGTGAAAGCATGATCTGGGAGCAAAACTGACTGGGGCCAAACAAGGTAGGAGGGCAGTTGGTGGTTACAGAGATGGACAGAAAACAAACTTTAATACCAGGGAGCCCAGGAACAGGGAGGACGAATCTCTCTAATATTTGCCTTTGAAAGTGAGAAGGGCTGGATTTTCATGAGTTCTTAAAGCCAGCAGAACTTAAAGCTTGGAATTTTAAAAATCAGAGGGTTTGGCTCTGGGAGAACCCAATAGCTTTAAAGAAGTGGAGACCCTACCCTTAAAGAGATAGCACAACAAATATCCTGTGCAGATACCTTGTAGAACCAGGAGTCTGAAAAAGAGATGAGGACATACAGGAGGCAGAGTGATTTGCTCATCTCAGAGCATGGCCTAGAGACACAAGGATTACAGGGAGACCATTCCAGGAATAAAGGAGCTGGCAGGTGCCATTTCTCTCCCCTACTTCCCAGCATAAACAATGGCCACCTTCGGAAACCAGCACAGAGCCAACACTCCATACCTAACTTGGTTACAAGAGACTCTCTACCGTATGCTTCCCTTCATCCACCCTTCCTCCCAGTTGCTCACCTGAGTCCCTGCACTGTGGTCCCCTCCCCCAGAAGACCAGTGCAAGCTTCAGCAGTACCATGCCTCCTGACCCATGCCTCTTATGGGGCCTCAGTTCTGGCTGCAGTGGTAGTGGGTCTCATTTTGTAAGCAAGCCATCAAACACCTTGTTAAAATGTGCTGACCCCTGCTGCACACAATAGGTAAAGAGAACCTCTACAGACAACTGTACTCAAGGGAAAAAAGGTCAAGACTCAACAACAGAGTACACACAACATACATAGGAGACATGCATTGAAGCACCAGGGCCTAGGGAACAGGGAATACTGCACTGCAGGGCACTACAGGACCACTTCTTCACAAGGCTATTACTGTTAAGAGCAAGAGAAACAGCTGATGTTCTTGAACACATATACAGACACAGAAAGTCGGACAAAATAAGGAGATGAGAAATACCTTCCAAATGAAAGAATAGGCCCAAACCACAGCAAGAGATTAAAGTGAAACATATATAAGTAATATGCCAGATAGAGAATTTAAAGTAATGATCATAAATATATTCACTGGACTAGAGAACAGAGTGGAAGACTTCATTGAAACCCTTAACACAGAGATAAAAAAAGAGCCAATCAGAGATTAAGAACACAATAAAATAAAATTAAAAATATACTTCACAGTGGTGTGCGTGGGTGGCCTACTTGATTGAGTGTCCAACTCTTGGTTTGGGCCCAGGTCATGATCTTGGGTGTAGTGGGACTCAGCCCTTTGTCAGGCTCTGTGCTCAGTGTGGAGTCTGCTTGAGATTCTCTCCCTCTCCTGCCCCTCTCCTCATTTGCATTCTCTCTCTCTCAAATAAATAAATAAAATATTCTAGAAAATATACACTTCTTGGAAGATATAGCCGGCTAGATGAAGCAGGGGAACAAACTACTGACCTAGAAGACAGAGTAATGGAAAATAACCAAGCTGAGTAAAGGAGGGGAAAGAAAAGTAAGGAAATTGAAAATGGTCTTACAGAAAACAGTGATTCCATCAAGTGTAATAACATCTACATTGTAGGGATATCAAAAGAAGAAGCTTAGATAAGGGGGCAGAATATTTATTTGAAGAAATAATAACTGAAAACTTCCCTAATCTGGAGAAGGAAGCAGAGATCCAGATCTAAGAGGCACAGAGATTCCCCCCCCCCAAACTTCAACCCAAACAAGTCTACACCAAGATACATAGTAATTAAAATGACAAAAAGCAGCAGGAAAAAAAAGGCAGTTACATACAAGAGAAACTTGATGAGGCTATCAGGAGATTTTTTAGCAGAAACTTTGTGGGCCAGACTAGAATGGCATGATATATTCAAAGTACTGAAAGGGAAAACCCTGCAGCCAAGAATATGCTATCCAGCAAGGCTATCATTCAGAATAGAGGGAGAGATAGTTTCTCAGACAAAAACTAAAGGAGTTTATGACCACTAGACCAGCCCTACAAGAAATATAAAGGGGGACGGAAGACCAGAAGTGAAAAATATGAAAAGTTAAAAAAAGGCAGTAAAAATATTTATGTAAAAATCAGTCAAAAGATTCATAAAATAAGAAAATGTAAAATATGAAACCATATAGCCAAAATGTGGGAGGGAGAGGACTAAAGAATGGGTTTAAACTTAAGCAGCCATAAACTTAATTAAGACTTCTATATGCAAAAAAATGACTTCTATATGCAGAAGATGTTATATACAAACCTAATGGTAACCATGAATCAAAAACAGGAGTATGCAAAGAATAAAGAGAAAGGGATCCAAGTATATCACTAAAGAAAGTCAACAAATCATAAAAGACAGTAAAAGAAGGATCAGAGAAAATCTATAGAAACAATCATAAAACAAGTAACAAAACAGCAATAAATACACATCTATCAGTAATTACTCTGTGGGTAAATGGATTAAATGCTCTAATCAAAAGACATAGGATGATAGAATGGATTAAAAACAAGACCCATCTATATGTTACCTACAAGAGACTCATTTCAGACCAAAAGACACCTGCAGATGGAAAGTGAGGGGATGGAGAAACATTTATGACATAAATGGATGCCAAAAGAAAGGAAAGTAGCAATACTTATATCAGACAAGACAGATTTTTTTTAAAAAAAGTTTTAAAAGATTTTATTTATTTATTTTAGGGAGAGCATGTGAGTATGAGCAGGGGGAGAGGCAGAGTGAGAGGGAGAAGCAGACACTCCGCTGGGCAGGGATCCCAACATGGGACTCAATCCCAGGATCCTGAGATCATGACCTGAGGAAGGCAGACTCTTAACCATCTGAGCCACCCAGGCACCCCAACAAGGTAGATTTTAAAACAAAGACTATAACAAGAGAGAAAGAAGAACACTATGTAATGATAAATGGGAAAATTCAATAAGAGGTTATAAAAATTATAAACATTTATGCACCCAACATGGAAGCACTAAATACATAAAACAGTTAATAACAGATATAAAAGAAATAATCAATAGTAATACAATAGTAGGGAATTTTAACAGATCGTCCACAAACAGAAAATCAAGTGTGGCCTTGAATGACACACTAGACCAGATGGATTTAACAGATATATTCAGAACATTCCATCCTAAAATAGCAGAATACACATTCTTTTCAAGTGCACACAGAACATTTTCCAGAGCAGATCACATAATTCATCCTGCGCATCTTTTCTTTTCTTTTTAAAAATATTCTATTTATTTATTCATAAGAGACAGAGAGAGAGAGAGGCAGAGACATAGGCAGAAGGAGAAGGAAGCCTCCCTGCCAAAAGCCCAATGCAGGATTCAATCCCAGGACCCCAGAATCACAACCTGAGCCAAAGGCAGATGCTCAACCACTGAGCCACCCAGGTGCCCCCTGTGTGTCTTTTCTAATCACAATGTTATGAAACTAGAAATCAATTACAAGAAAAAAATATTGAAAGAGCACAAATACATATAGGTTAAACAACATGCCCCTCAAAAATGGTCAACCAAAAAATATAAGAAGAAATAAAATTGTTTAGCAGCACATACACTAAAATTGGAATGATACAGAGAAGATTAGGATGGCTCCTGTGAAAGAATGACACCAAAATGAAAACACAGTAGTCCAAAATCTTTGGGATGCAGCAAAAGTGGTTCTAAGATGGAAGTTTATAGCCACACAGGCCTGTCTCAAGAAGCAAGAAAAGTCTCAAACAAACAACCTTAACCTTATACCTAAAGGAGCTAGGAAAAGAACACACAAAACCAAAAACCATGAAAAGGGAGGAAATAATAAAGATTAGAACAGAAATAAATGATAGAGAAACTGAAAAACAAAACAAAACAAAACAATAGAACAGATCAATGAAACCAGGAGCTGATTCTTTGAAATATCAACAAAATTGGTAAACCTCTAGTAAGACTCATTAAAAAAAGAGACAGTACCCAAATAAATAAAATTTCTAATGAAAGAGGAGAAATAACAACCAACACCACAGAAATACAAACAAGCGTAACACAATATTATGAAAATCTATATGCCAATAAATTTGACAACTTAGAAGAAGTGGATAAATTCCTAGAGACATATAACCTACCAAAACTAAGGTGGGAAGAAATAGAAAATTTGAATGAACCAATAATCCAAAAGGAAATTGGATCAGTAATCAAAAAACTCCCCCAAAACAAAAGTCCAGGACCAGATAGCTTCACAAGGGAATTCTACCAAACATTTAAGGAAGAGTTAATACTCATTCTTAAAGCTATTTCAAAAAATACAAGAGGAAGGAAAACTTCCAAATTCATCGATGAGGCCAGTATCACCTTGATTGCTAAATCAGATAAAGACATCACAAAAACAGAACTACAGGCCAATATCCCTCATTAATGTAAATGCAAAAATCCTCAACAAATTCAGCAAACTGAATCCAACAATATAATAAAAAATCGTACATCACGATCAAGGGGTATTTATTTCTGGGATGCAAGGGTGGTTTAATATTCACAAAACAACCAATGTGATATGTCACATCAATAAGAAAAAGGATAAAGACTCTATGTTCACTTCAATAGATACAGAAGAAGCATTTAGTAAAGTACACCATTCATTCATAATAAAAACCCTCTGCAAAATAGGTCTAAAGGGAACATATCTCAACATAATAAAGGCCTTATATAAAAACCCCACAGCCAACACCATACTCTGGAGAAAAACTGAGAACTTTCCACCAAAGGTCAGGAGCAAGGCAAAGATGTCCTCTCTCACTACTATCTATCTTTCTTTTCTTTTCTTTCTTTCTTTCTTTCTTTCTTTCTTTCTTTCTTTCTTTCTTTCTTTCTTCTTTCTTTCTTTCTAAATTGTTTTATTTATTTAAGAGCAACAGAGAGACAGAAATAACGAGAGAGAACACGAGAAGGGAGGAAAGGGAAAAGCAGCCTTAACACTGAGCAGGGATCCTGAGGCGGGGCTCAATCCTAGGACCCTTGGATCATGACCTGAGCCAAAGGCAGACACTTAACCAACTAAGCCACCCAGGTACCCCTCACCACTTTTATTTAACATAGTACTGGAAATATTCATCACAGGAATGAGACAAGAAGAAGGAATAAAAAACATCCAAATTGGTAAGGAAGAAGTAGAACTCTTGCTATTTGCAGATGACATGATACTAAATAGAGAAAACCTCAGACTCCACCGAAACAATACTAGAACTGATAAATGAATTCAGTAAAGTCGTATGATACAAAATCAATGTATAGAAATCTGCTGCATTGCTATACACTAATCATGAAGCAGCAGAAAGTAAAATTAAGAAAAAGAATCCCATTTATAATCACACCAAAAATAAAATATCTCAGAATAAACTTAACGAAAGAGGTGAAAGACCTGTACTCTGAAAACTATAAAACACTGATGAAAGAAGTTCAAGGTGTAGAGAAATGGAAAGATATTCTATGCTCATGAGTTGGAAGAACAAATATTGTTGAAAATGTCTATTCTACCCAAAGCAATCTACATCCCTACTAAAATCTCTATCAAAATACCAACAGTATTTTTCACAGAACTAGAACAAATAATCCTAAGATTTGTATGGAATCACATAAGATAAAAAAATTTGTATGGAATAAACAATTGTTGGCAAGGATATGCAGAAAAAGGAACTCTCTTGCACTGCTGGTGAGGATGCAAATTGGTGCGGCCATTGTGAAAAAGAGTATGGAGTTTCCTCAAAAAATTAAAAATAGAACTACCCTATGATCCAGTAATCACACTACTTGGTTATTTACCCAAAAAATAGAGAAACATTGACTCAAAATAATATATGCATCCCTATGTTTATGAGAGCGTTATTTACAATAGCCAAATTATGGAAGCAGCCCATGTGTCCATTGATTGATGAATGGATAAAGGTGTGGTGATATAATTTAGCTATCAAAAGGAATGAAATCTTGCCATTTGCAACAACATGGATAGAACTACAGAGTATAATACTGAGTGGAAAAAGTCAGAGAAAGACAAACACCATATGATCTCACTTATATGTGGAATTTAAGGAACAAATGAGCCAAGGAAAAGAAGAGACAAAGCAAGAACGAGATTCTTAACTATAGAGAACAAACCAATGTTTATCAGAGGGGAAGCAAATGGGGGAATTTGTGAAATAGAGGATGAGAATTAAAGAATACATTTACCATGAAGAAAATGAAAGAAAATAACATTAATAAACAAAATAAGAAAATAATAGGAGAGAGCTTGCACCCTTAGAGCTGGGTAAACCAAGGGAAGACCTCGGGTTTCTGGAGAACCATAATATGGAAGAAGGGCCTCTCAGTGCTGGGACTCAGACCTCTGTGGAAAGGGGGCTACCTAGTTAGCGGTGGTTTTTAAATGTGCTGAGCAGGGACCTTGATGCATACTTGGCACTCAACCTCTATGGAGGATGAGTTGCTCAGGTAGTGCTGAGCCTTAGGATCTCAGCAGAGCGTCCCCTGGGTTGGGTTCAGATCTCTGAGGAGAGAAAAGTCATTCACGTGCAATGACTTAGAAAAGTCAGAAAAACTGCAAAATTGGTGTCCTTACAGAAACCACATGGCCCTAGTTAAATGAAAACCTTTGTTGGGGTGAAACTGAGGCACAGGAAGCAGACAGGAAGTTGCAAACCCCTTCTCAGTGTTACCTCACTATGGTACCTAACAGGGAGCCAGTTGCTAAAGGAGAAATGTGACTGAGTTTCCGGTTTTCTATAGCATAATGTGAAATGTACAGCTGAAGACCTTATGTATCCCTCACCTACTCCTTCTTCCTTTTTTTTTTTTTACTTACTCCTTCTTCCTAAAGTATACATTGTACTAGGAAAATAACAATAAGCGCTTTAGTTACTCTGTATTTCTTTTAAAACATAATTAATAGAAATAAATCACTAATATCAGCAATATCCACTACCAAAATATGACCCCACTAAGACCATAAATTCACAAAGAAGTTCTTTTTTAAAATAGAAATCATTTAGGGACGCCTGGGTGGCTCAGCGGTTGAGCATCTGCCTTCAGCTCAGGGAGTGATCCCGGGATCTGGGATCTAGTCCCACATTAGGCTCCCTGTAACGAGCTTGCTTCTCCCTCTGTGTCTCCACCTCTATGTGTCTCTCATGAATAAATAAATTAATTAAATATTTTAAAAAATAGAAATCATTTAGAGATTTTAATTAGTGATGCAATGAAGCACAATTTGTATTTTAGGGGAGTGGGTTTCAAAGCAGTGTATGCATAAACCAAGAGGTATCAAAGACCGTTAATTGAGGTTCAGGGATAAAGTAGTAATTCCATAAGTATTTCTTTGTATGTAATATTTTTATTTATGTTAAAATTTAATTTCATGGGGATCCCTGGGTGGCGCAGCGGTTTGGCGCCTGCCTTTGGCCCAGGGCGCGATCCTGGAGACCCGGGATCGAATCCCATGTCGGGCTCCCGGTGCATGGAGCCTGCTTCTCCCTCTGCCTGTGTCTCTGCCTCTCTCTCTCTCTCTGACTATCGTAAATAAAATAAAAAAATTTAAAAAAAAATTTAATTTCATAAGCATAAGTAAGCTTCAGTGGGAAAAAAAACAGCGATTGCCTCTGCAAGTTGAAAGAACATTTAACAAAAAAAGAACATGTAGGAGCATTATGAAGTTAAGGTAGTGTTTTTGTTTGGTTTTTGGAAGGCAATGTTTTTGTCTTAAGTGTTCATGTTACACAGGTGTATACATACAGTTATTTTCAGCAAACATCTAGTACAGAGTTTTTCATTTTCATTTTTTGTAAATTTTACATTAATAGAAAAACTAAACAAATATTAAATTCTAGTTAATGACATGCATGCTGAAGTACTTACAAAAAAGTTTACTGATATTCACAATGCACTTTGAAAATAGGGATCCCTGGGTGGCACAGCGGTTTGGCGCCTGTCTTTGGCCCGGGGCGCGATCCTGGAGACCCGGGAACGAATCCCACGTCAGGCTCCCGGTGCATGGAGCCTGCTTCTCTCTCTGCCTCTCTCTCTCTCTTTCTCTCTCTCTCTCTCTCTCTCTCTCTGTGACTATCATGAGTAAAAAAAAAAAAAAAAGAAAGAAAGAAAATAAAATGGGGCAGCTCCGGTGGCGCAGCGATTTAGCACAGCCTTCAGCCCAGGGCGTGATACTGGAGACCCGGGATCGAGTCCCGCTTCGGGCTCTCTGCATGGAGCCTGCTTCTCCTTCTGCCTGTGTCTCTGCCTCTCTCTCTCTGTGTGTGTCTCTATGAATAAATAAAAATTAAAAAAAGAAAATAAAATGGATTAATGGGTGGGTTAGATATATAAATGAGTAGATAAGTAAAAAGTAGAATCTAGGTGGAATGTAACAGAATATTATGAAAAATTTTATGTCCATAAGTTCAATAACTTAAAGAAAATGTACAAATATTTTAAAGACACTGCCCAATCACTCAAGGTTTGTAGAATAATCCTTCATCTAAAAAACATTTAGTTGGTAGATTAATAATATCACCATAAGGAAAACTCCAAGACCAGATGATTTCAATGGTAAATTCTATCAAATGTATAAATAAGAAATGGTGCAAGTTCATGTGTGTTGAATTGTTTATTAGGGACATAAATGT